GGCCCCTCTGCCTAAGACCCGAACGCGTCCCTTGTTAACCCGCGCGACGGACGATGCGGTATAATCATTTATAATTGAACTCACCATGTTACAGTTGTTGAGTTACCCTTTGTCTGATCCCTATCCATTTGTCAGCCTGGCATGGGAGACCCTACCAGAGGCACCACAAAATGGTACCTCCGCCAGTATATTCGTTTGGGTCATTGGGATACGCAAGCTCTCTCACCACGGCAAGGTGGTAACTCCAGAGAGAGTTCCTGAAGGCATTCCTTATGAAAACATGGGTGCGTGTAAATGTCTTTCGGCACGGTTGTTAATTGTTGGGGCCATTAAAATGTAGAGAGGAAGCAAAAATTAACACGCTTGAGATTAATGAATCAGGGTCATAAAAGTTTATGAGGAATCCAAAATATCCTACGCACCGAGGGGAGAGCTCAAAGGATCAAAATACATACAAGTTAATAGACAGAGATACTTTCAATATTTCCTCCCCTCATTCTCTCCCAAGGAACGAAGGTACTTTCTAAAATATTTTGCATCTCCAAGACTTAGGAAGAAGACCGAATCGAGATGAGGAAGTAGTTCAACCCTTTGGACCGAGTATCCTCAGAACGAGAATAACATATTTTGAGACGACTATGAAAAATGGCAGCCGAATCCTGCGCGAGTCTCCTCAGACCAAGAATGACTTCAGTCAAGGCCATGTTGAAGTATCATGCAGCAATCGACCGCGTTTCTCCTGCATGCCTCCTTCCTCGTCTGCGATCACGAGCTGCTTTCTTCAGAATCAATGGTGTGATGGAATAACCAGATGACACCAACATCGCCTTTCCAGGTGAACCGGTAGGATTAGGTATTAATGGTAGGATTTTCCCTGTTGTGCCTGAAATGGCCAGCATACTGTACGAAGCGTGATCTTTCTTTCCCTCTCCTCTCTCACTTTTTTTTCCTGTCTAGACTTCTCTTCCCGTGCATGGGAGATAAGAGGCGCTAGGACACCGCTGTCTCACTACTTCTTTTTAAAAAATTGCATGCTTGCATCTTTTTCTACATTCGCTTGAAAGGATTCGGCATTCAAAGATATTTCAATAATATTTCAGAATTTCCGCTCGCGAGGCATCCAACATCTTTCATGGGTGGGGATGGTAACTCTTGTGTTTTCCTCTATTTCCTCCCAACCAATGTGCAAAGAATATTGCGAGATCGTGATTTTTCCGGTTTCACTCCCTAATGGGAAAAAATAATGCCTTCAGAGAGAAAGAGTAGTAATCCCTGCTGTTCATTAGTTTTGAGGTCGTGCACTCATTCCAGTTCGTAATAGGGTATTGGTCGACGATTATCGCTTCCTGCGAAAGCTTTCATGAAACAAATAAAGGAGTGCATACATTTAGGTGAAACCCCATCGGGGAAAGAAAAGTATCCCTCAGCTATAATTGCTTACTTTTCTTTTAGCATTTTCCGTAATCACTCTGCGCGGTTAGAAAACTTTATTGATCATATCCTTGGAATTTTCCAAATAAATTTACATGCACTAAACTTGAATATGCAGGTGCAAGAAAGATGAAAGAAGCAAGAGAAAAGGGTACCAGACTTAAATAGTGCCTTAAGTAGGTTTCTCCTGGATATGGGGCCGTGGAGAAGGGGGGGGAGACAGAAGTAAATCCATTCCACAGACGCAAGTTCAGACTGAAAAAGGCGGGTAGGTGAATGCTAATGCCACGTGAGAGGGGAGAAGAGGAAATGAAGAGGTTAGACGCTGAAAACGCACAGGAATTTCATTGACCTTTGTCGTCTGCTGGGAAAAACCCAAACACAAAAGCCCCAGGATCCGAAAACAGAAAATTTCTCAGTTATGGCGTCGTGGCGTCTCGGGAACGATAGTTGCATCCGATCCTTTATTTCCAACATTTAGCGCTGTATATCTCAAGGAGTATGGTACAAATTTGATGTTTCTGCGACCGAGGGTTGGGGAGAAGGAGACTTTCCAAGAGAAGAATGCAAATTTTGACCTAGCAATGCTCTTTTCAATACCTTGCAACCTTTGAATATCGATCTTTTATCTTTGCAGATCGCATCCACGAGGCTATCGTTCTCCTACTGAAACCACTATTTGGAACGTCCCAATTCCAAATCACGTTTTCCTCGTTGATATAGCAACTTTCCTCATTGTGTAGACAACCATGAACGTGAAACGAACAAGGAAAAGCCGTCTTAGCACGTGCGCCGTCTTGGCGAGAAACTCTTTTCCTCGTCTACGGGAAAGAAGAACTTTTCATGAGAAGCATCCAAATGTTGACCTTTGACCACAGATCATGGAACCCCCGGTTGTGCCTTGAGAGAGCCAGCAATCGGCTCCAAGGCCCCTTCTCTAGATACCTTACAACAATTATAGAGCGGAATTTCGATCCAAGGGGGGGGGGCGATTTTTATGTTCCCGTAGTACCTTAATCAGGGTGATACTCTTTCTTAATGTGATATCTTAATTAGATATAAAAATTTTCCAGAAATGAAATACCAACTCTCGCCCCTAAAAAAAAATCATTTTATTTCAAATAGAGACAGAGTTGTTTCCATGTAACGTTGAAACCCATTTCACCCTTTGATGACTTCAGAGTAGATGAAGTCGATATGGGAGGTGATGCGAGTATAATGGGTGGGCCTGGATGAACACGGCTTTACACCATACGAATCCGCCCCCATGGCATAGGCTATGCCGTTGACGTACACGACCAAAGGTCCCCCACTATCCCCCTGCAAGGATGTTGAAGATCTCGGAATACATTTTCTCCCGATGCAATGCACCATTCCAACAACTATTCACAGAAAAGCGTCTGAAAATGAAGTCGATGTTAATTGACTCACAGAACATGTTCCAGTCCCTGTCGTGCGACTGCTGGCGCATATGATCCCTCTGTTATACTCAGCGGAACAGGAATCCCTGGGGAGGACGACAGCATCCACTTTCTGCAGATTAGTGGGATAAGTCTTGCCATCTGTGGCGGTGGAACCACAACCAAACATCTTGGCAGTGCATGCTGTCGCACTGTTCAAGTTGTCGGACCTCGCTATGCAGATCGGCTGGATGGAGGGCGTGAAGTTCAAGGGGTTCGCCAGTTTGATCACGGCGATGTCATATCCCTGTTGGTAATTAGCTGCAGGCGATAAAGAAATGCAAAAAAAAGATTCCGCTTGGATGAGTGATCAATGGAATTATAATAATTCAAAATGAGGAACTGCAAAATTATAAGAGAGCACTCATTTCGATCCAAAGTAAAATGTTTCTATATTTCTATCTCCTTTGCTTGCTAAATTTTTTATAGCCTCAAGAGCTTATCTGAATTGATCTTCCTTCACACCGCTATTCAGTTTCTTGCTAGTGAGTAGGCCAGGAACGAAATTCAGTATTGACTTGAGGAGTCTGCATCCTAATTCCGATCATGTTGTTGCGATGAATTTCTCTATTATTAAATCATGGAAATACTTATATTCCGAATTCTGCCATCCCAAAATAGTGACCCATAAATTCATGTCTATAGGTAATTAGGCTGTCCAAGAATGCTTCTTGGAGGCATGGTCATCGGGAAAAATACAAGGTATTTGCGGGCTAAATATAATTTTTTCGTTAACTTCAAGATCGTCCACCACAACCAAATCCAGAATCACTCATTCAGAAACTATTTCCTCTCAGCACTTGACAGATGAAAAGACATGCATGTGCCATTTCACTTACAGCCGACATAGGTGGGGTGTTGGGGCCATTGTGAGGCCACATATTTGGTTCCCATTTGCTTGTTTTCGCTCCCGACTCTGATACTCACTGCCGTAGCCCGCGTTGTCCTTGATTGGAGAGGAAATGCATAATGGGTCAATTACCTCTGGACACAGACCAAAAAAGACAGCAATAGGTTGTTGCTGATTACTTCAGAAGCAATGAAGGAAGCATATACTGTATGTATCCATCATCAACCGGCGGTGTCCCTGTCTCTTAGGAATTGGAGTAGCTTTCATTCAGCGAACCGAAAATCTCCGCGTCGTTCTACCACATGAGCCCTTCAAGACTACAAATCATCCTGATTTCAATAGTTTTCCAGGAGCAAACTGACCCATTTATGAGACAGTGAGCAGCAGTCAGGGCGTGGCGCTGGTCGATGATGAAACCTGTGCACCAAGAAGATTTGCCAGCTATGGTGTATTCAACAAAGGCGAGCCATGGTGCTTCCCTGATGGTTGCAGGACTCCCTCCGATGATCACGGGGTTCTCTTCCCTCTCCACCGCCTCGGAGTCACGCCATGGCAATAGGAAGAAATCCAGGAATCGCAGGAATCAGTTCCTTCGGGTGGATTCCCTGGTTGAACTCCATCGGCCGCATGAGTTCGCCACTATAAGGCAGGATGCTTTCTCAAGTTAATATCATCTGGACTGTAGTTCATGATTCATACTATGGTATAGAGATGAGAAAAAATTATTGGAAAACAAGGCGACCATTAATAAATGAAGCAGTTGCATTTCTACCTGGGAAAAATAGTCAAGGAAATAGTTAGGTAAACACACATCTGACCATGGTGAATATTTCGATCTGAATTAAGGGAAATGCAATACAGTTGATTCGGGTGGATTCTATGGTTGAACTCCATCGCCCGATTTCTTTCGCTAGAAGGGAGGATGCTTTTGCTAGCTAATAATATCATTTCAATTGTAATTCATGATTAAAACGAGGAATCGAGAAACGAGAAACCTGAGAAGTGCCTGTCAATGGCTACATTGGCTTAAAACACGAGGTTTCACTCACTTTGGGTTCAAGAAATATATGTCAATAGCTAAATTGGCTGGGACTTCCACATGCTTATCCAGTGCCTATTACGCTTCATAATTAACTATGACGAGGTTTCGAATCATTTGTGGCGCATGCAATGACTACTCATCACTTTGGTGCAATGGGCATGGAGGAGGGGGTGAAGAAGAAAGAATCCGTGTTTCCATTCGCCTAATGCAATAATGATAAGGGAAAACACTCCGCATAGGAAAGCTTTTGATAACTCTTGATTTAGAAGTTCTCCCGTTTTGGCGAAGATCCAGCAATGGGAGGACGGGATCGTCGATGACCCTGACAAAAATCATGATATTACTTGGAGCAATAATGCAGAACACATAATCCGTTGAAGGCAAAAGAGAAATCGGTTTAGTTACATTGTTTATTGTTTTTTTTTATTTTTGGTTGTCAGCTGGGAACACGTCTTCTCCTGCCCACGACATCGCAGTGGTGAAGCTGAGCCGGCCCCTGAGCTTCTCGCCCTCAGTTTAACCGATCTGCATTCCCAAGTCCGACAGCTTTGAGGGCGCCTGGACCTGCCCCATGAAAATATTCGGGTGGGGTATCACTTTCCCAATTAATATAATCCTCCCCGACATCCTGCAGAAATTGAATGCGACCGTAGAAGCCAAGGAACAGTGCTTTCATGATTATAACATGGGATTCATATGCGGCAGTGGCTCAGCAACACTATCTGGAAGTTGTCTAGTGAGTCACAGCAATTCACTATTAATTTTCAAAATGCAATTCGCGAGTGAATGTCTTCCAATCTTCCAACTTGCTTAACCCATTATTTTAAAAAATCCTCTTCGACCCTCCAACGTCGTTGCATGGAGATTGCGGAGGAACGCTTGTTGTGTATGTCAACGGAATAGCTTACGCCATGGGAGTGGACTCGCACCGAGTATCCATCTGCGGACTCCTGCCAGGTCGATACACCAGGGTCACCGTCGATGTCGACTTCATCTATGATGCCGTCCTCAACGGATGAAATGGGTCTCCGGATGGAATTTCTCCTCGTGACTGCTCTGGAAGTTTTCAAATAAAATGCGACATTATCATGGGATATATCGGACGAATACTGGTTTATATCGGGGATAATTTCTCAACGAATGCCATTTCTATTACACAAGTAGTGTAGGATGATCCCATGGAGGCCCATTACAGATCCTAACGTCCCTCGTCCAAAAACAGACATCCAATGGACACACGAGAGATTTGGAGCGTATTACGTTAGTACCCATTCAGCAAAAATGGACATCCATAGGACATTCCATTTGCATCTCATGCAGAAAAGATAACATCCCACGTATGTCCCTAAAATGACATCCCGTGAATGTCAAATCGGAATGGCTGGATGGTGTCTCTGGGATGCCGCAATCATTTTCTAACCCGGCTGACCCATCATTTACCAAAACAGGTTGATTTTCTCAATCCTTTCACCGAATTGGAATGAGAAAAATTGAGGTCTATTAGCCGTGCCAGCGCGAAGTGCCTCACCAGAAGAACGAAGACTAGACCAGAAGGGCGAGTACAGAGACCCGAGTGCAGTGCGCATGCCTGGGAAGGTGATGGCACATCTTGCTTAAGCAAAGGGCCGGGCGGGGCGCCGAACATCCCTGCTCTTGAATGCCCAAGTAAAAAGGAGTCATAATCCTCGCTAATATGACACACTCATACCTCAACTCTCTTGGCTGAAATATATATATCTGTAACCTGTAAACTGATACAGTATTTTCCCGCAGTGTATCCCTTGCAACTTTCTGCAGATAGTCCACATCGGAGACATACCCACTCGGAACTCTTCATATATGCTGAAAATTTGCTCTTCCCGTGCATGCGGCTGCAAGCTATCGATTCAGTGAAACCCGTGTAATGCGGCCACGAGGGGGAGTTTCAAAACTTGGCCGGTTCTGGCAGGTGGCCGCTCTTAAGGGGGGAATTTTCCCCGCTTTTTCCAATTTAGTGAAGCGGTTATCAGTCAGTTTTACGGGAAAATTGAACACCCTTTATTCCAAAGGTATTATAATTCCGATTTTGTCAGATTTCAAGTACAATATGTACGCAGAGAGAAATTTAGAGACCATTATATCATTGTAAAGAAGTCGTGAATCTTCGTTTGACGTGCGCTCATTTTTTTTAACCACACTCGCTCCCGAAGCGATTCTTGAATCATCCTGATTGTTTCTACGGACTCATGCATGCCTTTCCCGGCCAAAAAAAGCACCTGCGCTTCTCCGTGACATTCAATGCTTCCCCAAGGTCTTCCAAAACAGGCAGCGGCTTCTCAGATCCAATCAGCTACTTCTTCCTCATCCTCCTGTTTGGTCTCAGCAGTAGCAGGTCCCAAACGATGACAGAACGTTCGTCGACCAATCTCTTTGCTCGAAACTCTCGCAAGTTAGCAAGGATTCGTCCAGTGACAGGAAGTCAGTAGAATTCATATCACTAGGGAGGACCTCCATGAGCAGGTTCATTTCCTCCAACTGAAAGTCAATGGCCCGGTTATCCTCGGGAGCAGACAGCGTGATTTTGCTCAGACTCCAAAAACCACAATTATTGAAGCACTTTGGGATAGTTTCAATGCTTACAGCATTCCAAGCTGCTGAGAGTCCATACACAGTATCTACGACGCTGAGCTCTTGGAGAGATTAAGCCCAACCTCACAACCTGTATGTGGCGACTATTCAGTGAACCAGAGATCCAAGATGACAAAATAAAAAAGCACAATCTTCATGTCAAAGTTTCTTGTGCATTCCCAAAAGCCGTGATTTGACAAATTTCGCTCATCTGCTATGCCCTGTACGAGTTATTCGAAGAATCGCCATTAAGAGCAGAGGGTAGCATTCAATAGACCGAAAGCATTTCAGAAAATCTTCGGACTCGCCTTTCATACGGCAGCGGATTCGTTGCGAGGAACCGTGAAGGCCTCAATTGAAAAGAGCAGCTTCCGTTTCCGTAGACATATTTCACACCGAGGTTTAATAAAAATCGTTCGCGATCCTGGCCGCCAACTAGGCCGAGCGTGTGTTTGTGTGACTGGCTCTACAGGCCAAACCCGTCGAGATGTGAACACATGATATTAGGTTGTCACCTAAACTTTCATCATCCGAGGATGTGCATTCGTGATATTAAATTTACGAAAGGAGGGAGGCAACTTTCCCGCAAAATCTAATATCCGCTCTCGTCACACTATCCTCAAAATGGACGATTAGACGAGGGTTGCCGTCATACTCGGTAGGTGACGATGGCATCACCTACGGCATGGCTTCCCGTCATAAAAGGGTTAAAGCCAGTGTTCTATCGGCTTTGGAAACGTTGACGTCGGGAGAAGTTCATCACAAGCTGAGGAGACAATCTTGAAGGGGATCACATAGATACCTAACTTCCGTGCACAGTTGGCCCGTATGAAAGCTATTCCGGGAACATTTGGCTAGGCCTACTAAGATATATATGGAAGAGGTCCATTGGTAAAGTAAGTTTCCCTCATACGAGAGGGTATGTATACAATACATTTATTCAAACCAGAGGTTCCGAAGTTAAATGTATAACGGGGGCGACCCTACCAACTAGCTTGGCCGAGCGACAATTGTGTTTGTGTTTGTGTGCATGACAGTTCTACAGGCATAACGCTTCCACATTTGAACTTGGCATTTCGACACAAATCTTCCTCATCAACCGAGGATGCGCCCTTCAAAAATGAAAATTTTAAAATCGGATTGACGAAAGGAAGTGGAGCAACCTTTCACGGAAAATCGGGGATTTGCTCAATTCTCACCATCTCTCGGATAAACGAGAAGACGAGAGTAGCCCTATTACTCGCAAGGAAACGCTAGCATCTCTCGTTGCAATTCCTCCCGCCTGCTGCCAGGAATCCAGAGAATTTAAGCGTCCATGATGAAATCACACGGGCACCGCAAATGAGTACTTTACCACAGTTTCCTCGTGTACTCAAACTCTTAAATTGCATGATTTCAGAATTGCAGAATGACGTCATCATTTGACACTGCTTACATCATCTTCTGTCTTTTGAAAACGCTGAAGAACGACGCAAGAAAGCTGACGACCAAGAGAGTTCTTCAAAGGTTACATCGTTTTCCCGTATCGCAGTCGTATTGGTAGATGGAAACAAAATTTAAAATATCCCCTATGGCACCGCGAGTTTCGAGTAATGAAAAAAAACCTTTCGGGTACTATTTTTTTAACTGAACGGATTCATTAAACGACTACAGGAAATCTGGTTATAGAATATCTTGCTTTATTCACAGAAATGCAGCAAATGATGCACAACTGATAAGCCTCAGCCAGGATTTAGTGCTCCACGAGAAACTTGAGGAAGTTACCCGTACCTGCAATGGGATCTGGAAGAAGGATATCGAATCATGCGCAAACGATTACAAACCATGCAACGACATACATGTCTATGATGGCATATGAAGCTGGAAGATCTGAGAACATTAATGATGTTATATTCCAAAATTATAATTGTAGGAATTTCTCAAGTTCCCAATTTCAATAGCAAGATTGTAGCGATTTCGATGAAACGACGTGGATGACGGCTGAGGAGCACGATGGAAGTCGTGGCATTGTCACAGAGATATATTCATAGCGGACACACAGTACACGATGAGATGTTTACTGAAGCAAGAGGGAAGACTCACTCAGGCAGTTGTAGAAGTAGCATTCGCAAGTGTTGCTACCCACATGGGAAACACTCTGGACGTCGTGACTGATTGCACAACAGATATCAATGCAGAGATGGCACTGCGCAGGTGTGCCGTGACAGCAGGGTAACCAACTCGGACAAGACTTTTCATATATTGGATTTGCATCTGGAAGAAAAAAAAAAACAAAAAGAAAACCACTCCATGACCGGGGCCTATTCCTATTCTGCATTATGTAGGCGATTTCAATTTTTCTCAAGCGTTCATGCCACCTGTGCTAATACATGGGATGGATATATAACACATACTCGATTTTCTCTCAGAGATTTTATCATTTGCATTCAACTACGAGACCTTTTCGACATGCCATCGTTAAGGCAGCAAAAGACACAATGGGAAGCAAACGAGCAGCAAGAATTGGGGGGTGATGGCTTTCAACACTTTCACCACTGAGTTACATTCGGGACCGTGGCTGAGAGCGATGAAGGATGAGGAGTGGACACGGGGGAAACGCGGTGAAAGGGTCAATCGGAAATAGATAGAAATTGAGAACGAAAATATGGAAAACATTCTAGATCAAAGCAGAGAGTTCCATGCAGATTCTATCAATATTTTCGATTTGGAACTTTAAGGAAATGGAAATTCACTCACAAGCAACAGCGCAGAGCGCAAAGAGGACGAAGAGAAATTTCATATTGCTGTCTTTCGGATTTCCGATGGGATCTTTCTTCCACTCGGCTGTGTAGCTGAAGTTGACGATGACGATCTCCGGACCTTCGTCAGCTTTTATAGGCGTGTAAATCCGACCACGTATATGCGTGGGAAAGTGATCATCCTGTCTCTCAGATCCGGTCTACAAGGGGCGGGATTTTTTTCGTATTGAAGATTGCATGAAATTCCCGGAAGCATGTTGAAATCCTCCCTCAGTATATCTGGACATGGGATTTTGAGATCCATCGTCTCTGGGAATATTTTTCGATTCTTGGAATCTAATGACTCCAAGGCCAACCATCCAAAAGGCTTCCAAAAGGGTAACCTCCTAAAAAAAGAACCTCATCCTGGCAAGTCTGGATTCCAGGTCATGATTGTCAAGGTCATGCCATTTTTTGTTCAAAATAGGCTTGGTGAATGTAGTACCACTGGGAAATGGGGAAACTGTGACTTAGGTGACGGCATTTGAGTTGGATGAATGGAAAATTAATGATCTGCCACATCTGGCATATTCACCGAAAAAAGCAACAGCGCAGAGCGCAAAGAGGACGAAGAGAAATTTCATATTGCTGTCTTTCGGATTTCCGATGGGATCTTTCTTCCACTCGGCTGTGTAGCTGAAGTTGACGATGACGATCTCCGGACCTTCGTCAGCTTTTATTGGCCTGTAAATCCGACCACGTATATACGTCGGAAAGTGATCATCCTGTCTTTCAGATCCGGTCTACAAGGGCGGGCGTACTGAAGATTGCATGAAATTCCCGGAAGCATGTTGAAATACTCCCCCAGTATATCTGGACGTGTGATTTTGAGATCCATCGTCTCTGGGAATGTTTTTCGAGTCTTGGAGTCTAATGACTTCAAGGCCAACCATCGGTGTGGCTTCCAAAAGGGCAACCTTCTCAAAAAAAAACTGCACCGTGTCAATTCTGGTCTGACCTACAAGAGCTGCATGAACCATATTACGTCATAGAATGCAGAGTAGATTCCGCTCCTCGTCGCTGAGGAACAGCATTCTGTGATTTTCTTGCTTTCTTTTTCGAAATATATGCCTTTAATATGGTATTTCCCTCGTAACCAAACATATCGTTTCGAGGCCATTGCGTGCTTCAGTGATGATATTCAGTGAATAAGATGATATTCCGATTTTCTTCGAAAGAACGGGACACCATCAAGTTACGATTCTCCGAAAGATAATTCCCAGAATTTTTTATTCTCGGAAATGAATTTTCCCAAAGTGGACTTATCTCGGAGCGGTCTTATCACAGGAAGACCTGTTCTTTGAAATCACTCTTCCCCGAATGGCACTTTCTTGACGGTCCATTTCTCGAAATTAAAAACTATCCCGACGGGAAATTCCTCCTCCCTCCATTTCCGGACTGAATTTTCTACTCAAACCACAAGAATTTTAACTTGTAAGGGGACGAGGGTCCGAATGCTGAAACCTCTTTAATTAACACTCCATAAAGAATACATGGGTTCCTATGGAGGAATAAGTGCTCTTAAGCTTCAAGCTTCGTTCATCTCCCCTAAATGAGGTTTCAGCACTCGAGTCTAAGACTCCCTGGGAGCCATCATCAAAGTAGTCTACAGAGTGGCCTTCCATTAGTGCTACAATTTTATTTGATAATTATTGAAAGTACGAGGGGCATAACGAAAGCAATGCCGGTGTGCTTCCATTCCATTTACCATATGAAACACGTTGCTCAGATCGTTTAAATCTTTTCTTCATGTTTATGCTTTTTGAGTGCACAGATGTACCATTCTATGCGACTCAAGAAAATCCTTTAGAAGCAAGCCCCAGCGATCCCAGAAGACAGTCACCAAGAACTTCCCAGCAGCGGTCGGCGTTTTGAACTATTTTCATACAGGCGAACGAAGATGCCACCATTCCGTTGACTGTCGCTGTTTTTCAAGATCATATGCATGCCTCCAGGTTTTGCCACCAGTAACAACATTGTGAAAAAAGGCATCCCTTTGTCATCGTACGCCTACAACCGCTCATGAAAAATGTCTCGCTTTGCTTCATTCGTGCAATCATTAACTAGCACTTAGAATAGACAGATGGTTCATTTCAATCAAAATTCATGGTTTTTACAATGTGTATCAGCCCATAGAATTAAAGAAACAGAGTACCTTTAAAAGGTTTAACCTTTTCTTTTTTTGAGATATCATGTATTGAGAACAAAGAACAGTCCTTATTTTACGAACGTTTCTTTCGGCATTTACTCCGTTACTAAAGGAACAGTTGCTCTCGTGTTATTAGATTATGTCCAGAAGTGTAAACTTCATATACGAGCCCCCCCCCCC